ACCCACCCCAAAAAAAAAAAAACCCTCCAATGTAATAAGATATTTCATATTCAAATTTTAGTTGACTTACTCAATATAAATTTAAATTGATTGAGTTAATATATATTTGAGATACGTACAAAATATTTTAAGTTGGCTGATTTTAGATCGTCAAATTAAAAAGTTGTGGTGGGACCAAGTCCGTTTGGCCCTTAGGCATGAGGTGCAACACTTAAGAGAGGACCACCCACAGACCAACCCAGTATGGGATTTGAAAATGAGAGTTTGATAATTGCCCATATACACCATGTGTGTTCTTTATCACATGCACTCCTTATCCCTTCACATTTCAAGAACCCAACAAACAAAACTACGTACTTCTATATATTTCTTTTATATATAATATATAGTTTATATATCTGAATTTTGGTTTCTGTATGATCAATAAATGTCATGCAACACAAACTGAGTAGTCTCAAATGGACAAGAACATTAAATTTGACCCAATATGTTTTAATTTATGTCTTCTTCATGATGATGATGATGTCTCCAATATAATATTGAGTGTATTCTTTTGTAGGGGAAGGAGGGCCACGTCTCATTAATGGTGTGTCCGTCTGTTAGTTACGAAGGAAAATATTTTTCAATTTTTTAGGAAAATAAGTGGATTTATTATTTATAAAATTATAACATATCCAATTCATTCAAGTTTGGGCTAATAATTGACCTGCTCATTCATTAGCTCACGATAATAATTAACATGTTATTAAGTGTGCAATGAAAAGTTTAAAATCAAATATAAAAAAATGTGTTCTTATTATTAAGGACTCCCTTCTTTGGTTTGAGTTAGCTAAAAATAGAATTATAATTGTTCCCATTTGTCATGTCATGATTTGAATTAAAAAAGAATGAAGAAAAAACAGTGCAATATTTGTTTTTGTTCTTTTGTTTCATTTGATCCTCTTTCGTTCTCTTAAGTTTGCATGGAATGGTGACACCAACCTAAAACTAATTTGCCGACAATGAGAAACTAGAATAATTAATTAGAGAAAAAACACATGAATTAATTAACAAAACGAATTAGGGGCTAAGATATGCAATTTATAAAATTAATTATAGTGATTAGGACAGTTTTCTTGGCATGAAATTAAATTTGAGAATGCTTATTACACTATTAGAAGATATGGAATCAAGGAATTTATCGGTGCTAATCCGTTGCTAGAGAAAACTCCTTGCGAATTTTCTTATAATCTATAGCTAAACAAAATTAACACAATTTTAATTATTTAACTACGAAATTTGTGTGTCGTTAATTCTTTATTTTCTAATAGTGCTATTTTTCTTAATGTTAATATCACTAAAAAGGATTAATGTCTTCCAATTTCATAGTTTAATGAGTTAACATCTCAAAATGTTACTTAACTTTGAAAATATTTGTAGCAAAGTCATTAAACTTTGCTTTATATCAATAAAATTACTCAACTTAGATATTTGTATCAATAAAATCACTCAACTTCGACATTTATATCAATAAAATCACTCATCTAAATTTATCATTCAAAAAAATTGACCTGACAAAATAAATTATCTTCTTTTATCATATTAACATCTCATCTAAACAATTTTAAGAAATTGCATCTATTTAATTTCACTTAATAGAGGATTTGATGGGGTTGGAGTTTGTGGGTGGGTGGGGTGTCACCGCACTGATTAGCTATTTCAATTACTTTATGAAAAAAATTGATAAGAGTTCTTAATGGAAACATTATATGATCCTTTTTTTTGTTTTTTCGGCTGGTATTCGATATCTATATTGAAATTTGACTAAATTCAAATTCATGTCGGGATAGGTAAAGCGCTTCCTAACAAAGATGACTCCTTACCCAAAGAGACTCGAACTCAAGATCTCTGATTAAGAATGAAGGAATACTTACCACTCCACTATAAGAAGAACACTTTATTTATTTATTTATTTTTATTCTAAGAAGCAAAAGCTAGGTGTCAAATCCTAATAACTGGACATTTCTATAATTTAGTTTGGTGGTACTAATGGTCGTCTGATGATTAGTTACTATATTAAAGATTGAAAAGTCTTTCATTTGCTTTGCTGTTAATAAAACAAAATTAATTATGATTAGTCAGGCGTGTTGATTAAGTGACTATTTTAACATGGCCTAAAACAGTCTTATATGTCTCCCATTAACAAAAACATCTCATGGAATGTCTGTATAAACCACATATATACTTGTTAACAACATTGGAGGCAAGTGCACTTGGCACTTAATATTATTTGATCTTATCGCTCAAGTGTCATCAAATGAGCAATATATTGTTTGTTTTCCACAAATCTCATCTTTTATTTCCTCCTAAATTTAATATCTTTGGTCAAATTATAAATCGAGTAGTGAAAATAGTCACTAGTTCACTAATATTTATATCATGGTATATTATCTATATTATACATCTTAGGTACGATCATTCCTACACCCGGTATACTAACACCATAATGTTTTGTGCATCAAACACCGATTACCTAGATCATGTTGAGTTTTAAAAGGTGTGAATGAAAAATGAAGAGTTGCAACTTTTATGAAGAGTTATGACTTTTATGAAAAGTTGCGACTTTTATGAAAAGTTCTGACTTTTATGAAAGGTTGTGACCTTTCCGAAAGATTATGACTTTTCCAAGGGATTGTGACATTTCCGGTAAGGCACAATAAGAACATTTTCACACTACCCTTTGTTTTCTATAAATTGAGAGATTTCCTCTCATTTTAAAAGAACTAATTTTCTAGACTTCTACTACTACTACTACTACTACTACTATTACTAAATCTAGTATTCTAAGTGTACATTACTGTCGTTGAGTGATTCACTGACACCGTGGTTTTAGGTACCGATACACCGGTGAGTAAGATCATTCTATCCTTGGAGGATATATTCCATTAATCTCGGGTACTTGAGGGGAATAATTTCCTTAAGGGGACACTCATGTACATTCAGTGGGCTCGATTTTCTTCTTTAAGAAAAATATTTTGTATATTGTTTCTACTTTGTTTCTGATTCTACTTTCTCTACCGGTTTTAATTTCCTAGTTTTGAAAATGATCTTTAAAATTTGTTGTTTCTTATCAAGTTCTTCAAAGTTTTTGTTCTACGTATCTTAGAAATACATAATGAACAATAGATCAAGCTATATATCGTCCTAAAAAATCTCTTCAATCCTATATGACACTGTTTACGTGGAGTTCAATTTCTAAGGAACTTCCAAAGAAAAGGTTTCTAATGGGTGGTCAAATGACAGATTTTTTGTCCTCCAGAGATGTATTACTCAACGTTAATATAATTGATAATAAATAATTTTTCCTCCATTCGTGATGCAATTTAATTTGACACCAAAATTAACAAAGACACCGAGTAACTAACAAAATTTTCTTATTGAAGGTCTTTTTCTCTAGAACCTTTCGTATTTTGTATTATTGATTTATTTCTGTTTAGAATAATTAGGGAAATTTGCACTTTTAATCCTTCAAATATTAATTAATTTGAATTTTGATATTTTATTAATCAAAATATACAGTTTTGATCCCCTATAATTGTGAATCTTCACAAACTTATATAACGAATTATGTTAATGTTAAGTTCTGTATTGTTAGTCCACCCAGTAACTCTTTGGCGGAGCAATAATCAATTGTTTATTAAGTACCAACTCCAAACATGTTAATCCTTTCAAATTAATTCGCTCAATCTGTTCATTTGACACGTCTAATATGAAACAACAAATAAGAAATAATACAACTACTACTATTTTATTTACTGGCATTATGAAACAGTACATTTAATTTTGCAAATCTTGGAAGTCAGATAATTGGACAAAAACAAAGGTATGTCCACATGAAAGATCTCCTACTTCACTTTTCTAGAATTATCAAATCCATCCCATCCATAGATCTCTCACATCAATGATTTTGGACAAACAACAAGAATCATACCCTTCCAAATTACTGCACACAGATGTGTCAAGTCAATACTGAACAAATAAAATGAACGATCGGAAGGAGTAATAATTAAAAGGAGAGTGATGGATCGCTCACCAGGTGTTGTGTAGGGCAGGTCTCATATTAATGGAAATGAACACAAATTGTTGTTATTACTGATCAATTCTGAATGATTAATAATCATCTTTTGTTTTTGGTCATCTCCACTATCCTGAAAACATATCTACCCATGTTAGAGATATACTATATATATATATTTCTAAACAAATCTCAATCATATTATGTATCCTACACTTGAAAAAATATATATATGTGAAAACAATAGTACAATACTATGTCAAACGGGTGGGGATAATAGATCAATCTCTATCAGTGTCTTTTAGGTTTTTGTCTTATTGAATAATACTCCTTCCGTTTTAATTTGGTTATCATACTTCTATTAGTCCGTTTAAAATACATTTTCCTTTTTAACGTCAAATGATTAAAACATTCAAAAGTCTGTTTCAAGTCAAAATATGACAAACAAATTGAAACAGAAAGAATATGACGTATATATGGATATTAATTTTTTACTATTGAATACCTGAGAAACAGAATTTGGTAGATGCAATTGTTGAAACATATGTGATGTTGAACTATCCAGGAGAGGATAGCTACTAGTTGTGTTCTCTAATAATGGTCCTTCCAAGCCACTCCAGCTCTGATCATAATTCAATAGAAAAAAAAAAGATTTAGCGTAATAGACATATCTTTGTGTCACGAGATATTGTTTCGTTGATATTTTTACTAGTTATGTATGTATATAGAAATTTAGGTATAAATATGGTTCAGTTCTTCAAATATTGACACAGCTTACGAAAATTTCTGCGTAGGTACCTGATCAGGTTTGACCATGAGAGCATCTAACTCCATGCCAAAGTCATAGTACATGGGGTTCAAAGAAGCAAGCTTCATGGATAAAAACTGTAACATTATAAGCACAATAATGATGTTTTAGTTAAATAGATCAATTACTCATTTCCCTTTTCTCTTTTTTTTTTTTTTTACTAAAAGTCAAATAATAAGTAAATTATTGATGGTTAATTTATTTATTTTTTACCTCAACTTGGTTTTGCAAGGACTGGACATAGTTGATTATCTCATCCAACATAAGGGCCTTCCCAGTTACCTGATTTCGACGATGCCACGTTAAACATTGGTCTAATATTAAAACATAAGTCAAATAGTAAGGACCACTTTACACTTGACGCGTTTTATTCAAATTTCTCTTGAATTATCAATATAGTCTTCTAAATTTGGCTATTCTACTAAAACGAGGTTATCGAAAGTCAAACTAATCTGAATAAAATGCGTCGAAGTTTAAAAATTTCTTTTATATTCTACCAAAAAAGGAAAGACAAATAGCTGAAACTTGATATACCTTGTCACAACCAGGAACAAGTGCTTGCAATATCTTCATCCTTTCACTTATTTTCTCTCTCCTCACCTGAAATTATGTCATATAAATTTTCAACTAATAATTTTGAATTCCAGAATATTGATATGGAAAGATAATTACAGGTAAACATTTGTAATAAACTTAAGTTATATACACTATTTGGGTAAAAAAAAAAAAAACTATATTGTCATGTCACTTTTTTCTATTACTATAATATAATATATAAATAGGTTACACAGACCATACGTATAACATAGTGCATATAACTTAAAAAGGGACACTACGAAAAGATGTGGTGCAATGGATTAAAGTTGAGTTTGAGTTATGAATATAAAAAAAAAATCGTAAAAAGAGTTATAACTTCAATACGAATATCAAACACTAAGTCGGAAACAAAAATAGTATAGTAGAAAATTAGTTACCCTTTCAGCAAGACTGTGGCTGTCAGTTGCCTGGCCCCTCCTTGCTCTAACATGAACATATCCTGTAGGGGCCTCTTCAGGGACTTTCTTCTTATTATTATCCTTTGCTTTTTTCTCTATTTTCACATTACCATTTCTTTTCTTTTGCCTTTTCCCATAATCACCTTCTCTTACATTCTAACAAATCATAAACAATAATTACCACTTCATCATAAAAAATTCAATCTTTAAAACTTGAACATCATATATATATATATATACTCCCTTTATTTGAATTTATTTATCTTATTTTAACTTGAAAGTTGAAACAAAGTTAAAAGAACGGTAAATAAGACTTCTAAATGTTATAATCTCGAATTAAAGATACACAAAATATATCTTTGATCTTACACTGTTACACATGCTACGTAGAAAGTTAGAATTTAAGAGTTGTCAAAAAAAAGAAAGAGACATTCTTTATGAAACGGATTAATATTTGAAAAGAATTACCTTAGATTGAGTAGAGCAGAGGGAGGAAGAAATGGTTTTATTTGTCACATGAGAAGGTTCATTTTGGCTAATTTCATGAACATTATTACTCATATTGACAGAAAGCTCTTGCAAATAAAATTGAGAAACACAATTTGGTAGTACTGTACTACAAGTCATGTTGTTTGGTTCCTCCAAAAAACCAGACAACTTAATGGGCACATGAAAAATAGAATCAAGATGAAAAGAGTTACTATTAGCCTCCATTGTTTTTGTGGAATTTTATAATAATGGAACACAAAAATGGTAAAATAGATACCAGGCAAGGCAAAGGAGAAATTAAAGGAGAAAATATTAAATGGATTCTGAGAATTATAAAATGTTATAAGGGGGGTCAGGTTTATATAATGATGAAAGGGATATCCTTTATAGCACATTCCAATGCAGTTTCTCTGCATTTGACTGGTCTTATCTGAATTGACTTGGTGGAGCTAGATGATAACATGTAGCTCTCAGCCAAAATGGTAAATGATAAGTATTCCTTCATCGTATTTTATGTTCGAGTATAAAATCATTTTTATTAAGAAATGTTTTATTTTCTATAGAAATTTAATCAAATCTCAATGCGAATATCAAGTGAAATATTTTTAAAAAAAAACATATAATCTTTGAGTTTTAATTTGATCTGATTTAAGTTTTAAAATAAACTAAAATTGTTAGTACTTTCTAATTTAATAAAATCCTCTAAATTTTGTGAACTTAGACATTACGAGTAAAATTTTGAATTTAAAATAAAAATTTAATAAATATATAAAAGGATGTTCTTTCTTTGATAAAGAGACTAGAAAGAAAACTATAAGAAAAATAAGTTTGAAACACAATATTATATACAAACAAAGTCTGTCCTTTTGGAACTATTCTTTTAAATTTTTGCTTTAACATATAACTATTACAAGTCATATGTAGATAAATGTTGTATAACGATAAGACTTTTCAATCAGTGTATAATAATGCTGTTAAAACAGTAGAAGCATTTATTTAGAACAGTAGTTTTTGTTAAATATGACATCCACATATTATGCTATTGGTTGATGATATAGTATCACTTGATAAGATTTAAAATAAAGTTAACGTCAAGCTAATGATTCGAAGACAGATCTTAAAGTTTAAAAGATTCAGAATTATTCGATATATTCTATTTATTATTGTATTAGCTATTCAATAGCTTAGACATATATAAATTATATGGGAATTTTATGACCCTTTGAACTTTTATTTTTCATATTATTTACCTCCTTCGTTAATTATCTAATTTAAATATATAATTGATAATTTCACTATTGTTTAAATATGTTTTTATGTCTTTATCTCTAACATGGCAATATAATTTGATAGTTAATATTCAAGCAATAAATGGCCATGACTATTTATTGCCATGAACAATAGACAATAGTACTATATTATATTACTTATATAACTACTATGTGTCAGATGCTTTTATGGTCTTCTTTGAGTCAATTAATCAGACATGCAAACATTATTGGGGTTATGATGTTTCAATCCAGTTAGTTAAGTGACAAGTCATAAGAGTAAGAAAACAGTACTTCCTTTGATTAAAAATAGGTTAAAGGTAATGAAAAATGGAAGCACAAAAGTTAAATTGGTCAAAGTAAAAGATCAATACATGCCTATATATGTGGAGTTAAGAATTTTTCAAAATGGTACCCGACTAAATCTGAATGCGCGTCAAGAAATCTTGGGTAAAGTATCGAGAAATCTCATAATGGGTAAAGCGCCTCCTAACAAAGGCAACTCTGTACCCAGGAGACTTGAACCCAAAATTTTTAGTTAAGAATGAAGAAGTACTTATCACTTCAGCACAACTCTGATTGGTTATACTTGTCCAAGTTTATTGTGAAAAAACATACTCCTCACTAGAAAAATTAAATCTTAAATCTCTCTCTCTCTGTATTTCAAAAATAATACTAATATGTTTTTAAACACTATTAGTTCTTAAATTAAATTTCATATATGCACAAAGATATAATTCACTTAAACATTCATTACTAGAACTAAAGTTTTTTCTATCGTGAAATCAGAGGAAAAAAATTGTTGCAGAACATGATTTTCCCATTTATTTTTCATAAAAAATCAGTTTACTAAAAAAATGAATTGTGGGAAATAAATATCACTAAAATTGTGGAAATCTTTATTACAATTTTTTCATTTCTCATCGATTCAATCAAAATATTCGTGTGAATAGCCACTAAACATTTTTCAATAGGAAAATAGTAGTAATTTTTTTTGTAGTGATCGCAAAATATTTTTTAAACGAAACACACATGCAACATTGAACTAGTTGTCCTTATTAATGTCAAAAATACAACTTTATACACCTAAAATTTGTTGAAGTTAGTTCCATTATCCTTCAAGGATATATATATTAGTAGAATATTTGGAATATCAATATATGTTCACATTATATACCAAGTGGCTTTGACCCTTATGGATCATTAGTGCATGGGCTTTTATCTTTGTCTTGGTCCAGCCCAGCCTACTCCTAATATTCATTAGCTTTTGAAATGTGAAATACGTTTTGAATTTTGATATATCGATTCCCACCTAACATTGGCCTTTAGGAATATGGTTATTGAGCTATGTCGAATTCGTAACTAATACTTTAGCTTATTTAATTCTCACCAATGAGATAAAAATTAAAGTAGTTAACCAACTAATCTATTAAGTTTCTCTATCTGCTCTTATATGTAATTTTGGTAGCATTGATATTTCCAAATGTCTATCACTCAGATAAACACGTCTGGCTATATAATATAAGTTTGTTTTTAAAAAATATTTTCAACTTTAAAATTTTATTTTCACCCCTACCCTCGACCCCCCTCCCCTCCAACCCCACGCCCCAAACAAAATTTAAGTTTGTTTTTAAAAAATATTTTCAATTTCAAAAATTATTTTTTACTCTCTAGTAAAAATAAAAGATATTTTCTCAAAAACATTTTTTCATTCATAAATCAAACACTAAAAGATCTTTTCCGAAAAATATTTTCTACTCACCAACCAAACATGAGAAAATAAGTCAAAAATTTACTTGTTTTCCAAGAAAACATTTTCCTTCGTACCAAACACACCCATAATATAAAAGCGGATCTATAATTATATTAATAGTACCTGAAATGACAATCATTGTTGTTTTAATCATAATTTATTTTCTGCATATGAAGAGGAAAAAAAATATAGATAGGGCTTAAATTACGGGTAGTACAATCAATTCATAAAAATTATAATCTGATTAAGTCTTTTATGTTTGAGTGGATTAATAACATGTTAATTATTTTATTAACTCAACTCATTTTCTCTCATTTAATTAAAAAGATTTTTTTTTATTTGATAGGCTTACTAACTTTTAAAAAAAAAGAGTTAGTCACTCATTTACTAGCTTAATCCGTTTTAATATTCTCAAATTCATCTCGATCTTCCCGTTTTGACACCTATTAAATCAAATAATAAATGATATCTAGTGTCAAAGTGAGAAGCTGGATGCATGACAGATACATATACATTTGACCCATAGTAAACACACCAGCCTTTTCTTCTAATCTTTTTTTTTTGGCTGAATTTCTTTTAATCATTTATATACTTTCCAAAAAGCCACCTACTTTCATCGAATATTCCTCTCTTTCTAATCTAAATTCAATTAGCAAAAAAGGAAATATAGAATAAAGAATGAAATTCTATAAAAACATATTCCGTTGGATACTTGCTAAAAAATCAACATAATGATGGATTGAGTTGAACACGCAATATAGAAGACAAATCAAAATAGTTCAAATAAATAATAAATACTTCTTTTTGAAATGAATCATTTCGTTTGGTTTGTTGTTGACTTGATGTTTATATATATCACTTACGTAAATAGGTTAAAATGTACCTTAGTGTTTGTTCATTTGAAATTTTCAGGTTTGAGGCCCAATGGATAAAGACATTAAGTGTCATTTTCTCTAAGAAAAATTGATAAAGAAAAGTAGAAATTATTCATTAATTAGTCAGAAAAGAAGTTGGACTTTTACTGCTTTTTGGGTGCAATAATCCGTTGTAGTCTGGTTGGCTAGAATACTCGGCTCCCACCCGATAGATCCGGAAATAAATATGGACTTTTATCAGAAATATTTTTTCCTAATTAAAGAGTTATTATATTTGAAAATAGTAGAATATGTCGAGATAGACCCTCTAATAGTAATTTTTAAGAAAAAATGACAAAATGACTCCTTATATTATACTAGTAAGTTTAGAAAAGTTTTATTTTTATTTTTTTTATGTATTACCTTAACAATTTAGTCCTTTAAGTTTGTTTAAAGTGAATATTTTGGTCATCATTAGATATATATCAAACTGTGATTGCTAAATTTAACAGTATACATGGGGGGAAAAACAAATCAAAAACACACACAAAAATTCTATCAAAATTATAGCTTCACATAAAAAACTATACAAGTCACAAAATAAATAGACCAAAAATAACAGAAATTGCTCCTCAAAAAATTGCACCATACTCTTAAAAAAAAAGTTTTAAAAAAAACAACATAATTTGCAAACATTATACTTACAAATATGAGTTCCGTTAAATATCTCTATTCTCACCAATTAAATTTAACAATCAAAATTCAAAATATTTGATGGAGATCAAATATATTCACTTTTGACAAATTTAAAAATTCAAAATTACTCAGATAATACTTAAAACCCTATTTTAAACCTACTTAAAAGGGAAAAAAGAGAGACCAATTTTGTCATTTTCTTTTAATTACGATTTATGGGAGAAATTAATAGCAAAAACTGCATGATATAATGCCAAAGCAGTGAACAAAGATATTTAATTTTGATTAATCGTTTTTCCTTCTTTTTTTTATGATAATAATAAGCTACTTAGTAATCTTTGACACGTGTTAACCGTTTTTTTTGCTCATATAAAAGTTTTTTCTTTATGTCACATCTGGTAATGGAAATTAAGAATAATACAGTTCATTTTTTGCCTTTTCAAGTCATGTAGCGTGTGATAAAAGCCTGGAAAACCTTTTACATTGTACAATTTAACATATGATTTATATTTTTTTTTTAAATTATGTTACTACTAATTATTGTGCTTATCATAATAGAAATTTTCATTACCTAAGTATATGCAAAATTGCAACCTATTGTGTGAATATTATTATTTTACACTGCACTCCGAAGGCATTAGACAGGATTAAGATTTTCATTGTGAAGATTTAAAAAATAAAAGAAGTAAACATGATAAAAGAATTAAATAAAAAATAATTCTAATTTTATATATAAAATGTAATTTTTTCGTCAATAATTT